CTCCTTTCCTTCTTCTTTTCTTTTTCTCTTTTTTCGTCTTTCTCTGCCGGGCCGGGTGCCCCGATCGGATCCAAGCCTTCTCCTCGAGCTCTCAAGGCGGCCAGCTCGTCGTCGGCTGGCTCTACTTTCTCCAAATTCCTCACCCATCCTTCTTCTCCGTCCTCTCTCAACACCTTCCGCAACTTCTTCACGTGGATGAGGTCCTCCGACATGCGATCCCCAGTGCAAGCCTCCTCGCACCGATGTAGCCGCAAGACCATGTCCGGGTGCCCGGAGTGGTGGCGAAGCAAGCTCTCCGATGTTGTCCCGGTCAGCTGCATGGTGAAGTGGATCCCTGAGTCCTGGATGTCGACTCCTCGGATCCTCCCCGCGACTTGGCAAGCTGCACCGAAGTATGAGGCTTCGGGACACACCACACGAGTCCCAGCTGTCACCTCTTCGACACCCAGCTTGCTCAACTGGGCCAAATCTCCTCTGTGCCAAAGCTCCCGTTCCGCAGGAGCTGGGTCTGCTGGATCGGCATGGGCTGGTCGTCGAGCAACTACTCTTCTTTTCGGGACAGCCCGCATGGCTCTCCCTTTCGCCTTGGCCTTGGCCTTTGGTGGCATTGTTTAGTCTAGCGCCGGTGAGGCCAATAACGGCCTCTCTCCCGATGCTTGACTCCCTTCGAACCCCTTCGACGGGGTTGACCGTCCGTCCTTCTTGGTGACCTCGATCGTGGTCTCCTCCAACTGCTTCGCTCCCGACCTGTCGAGTTACCCTGGTGATGAGATGGGGGGTAACTGGGTTCGGCAGGGTATCGAGGAGCGGGTGGCGGCGGTGGCAACGGTGGGTTGAAATGCTTGGCGACAGTTCCCCACACAGCTGGTCGTAGGCCGTACCTCGAGGGATCTCTCTCGAGATCCTGGGGGGTGGGGTCGAGACCCCTGGCGCTCGAACCTTTGGCTAAAATGGGAGTTGGCTCCTGGCGGCCAACTTCTGCCTTGGGCTCCTCTTCCTTCTCTTTCTTCTTCTTCTCTCTGCGACTCTTCTTGCCTTCTCTCTTCGAGCTTGTGCCCGCCTTATGCTTCCGCCTCCTCTTGCGCTTCTCCTGAGGCTGATCCTTCTTTCCTTCCTTCGACTCTGCCGCAATGGGGACGGTCACGAGTGGCTCCTTGTTCAACTGTTGCTCACCTTGGTCCTCCTTCTTCACCTCAACTGTCTCCTTCTTGGGCTCGTCCTTGTCCTTCTCGTCCACGCCAGGGGCCAGCGGCTCCCCGTCAACTGCCTCCTTGGTCGCAACCTCGGGTCCGCTTTCTCGAAGCTCTTGTGCCAAGATGGGGGCCGCTTCCTCGGCCAAATCCGTAAGGGCACCAGCGCAGTCGCGGAGGACGGTGAGCACCTGACTCTCTTGGCGCCGAATCAGGAGCTGACCTTCAATCAGCTCCCGGATGCGCCGCAAGGTCCTGCAAACCTGGCAGGTCGGTGAACCTTCCCAGGTATGGCACGAGGCGCACCGCATGAACCTGTAAGCCAAAACGCTATGGGACCAACACCGTGCGAAGCTTCTTAACCCTCGGGGACGAAGGTACATATATTGAAAATAAGCATGTAGCTCTATATACGTTGATTAATGTTGCGTTTGTTTGGGGTACGATGATTCATAAAGAAAACAAATATTTTGTGTGAACAAAATGAAAGCAACCAACAGTTGGTGTGCATGTCTGAGATAGAGGCTTTGGTAGATCACAGCGGGACCTGTTGGCATGCACATCATCATCATCATCATCATCATCATCATCATCATCATCAGGATGACAAAGTGGTCAGCTAAGCTATATCATATCATAAGGTGGGTAGATCCCAATATAATTAGCTTACTGGTAATGAGACACACCCTAAAAATTGAAAACAAAGTCATAAGCGATATCTTTTGAGCTGCAAGTTGTCCTAGAAGCGGACAAACCAGCAGTTCCTGGTGCAACAAGCGCTGACTGCCTATTCATCGCACATCCAAAGCGAACCAAAGGCAACCATATGGGAACAGCAAATGGCTGTGCACAGTGACACCTGGCACCTTGATACCAAGAACACTGAGGGAGGACGACCTTTTTTTAGGTCGTCACCGCCCGCACTGGAAACGGGAGAAACGCCCATGCCGATCCTTTTGGCTAGTAAAGACATCTAAAGACCTTTCCTCCCCAAAATGTGATCATCTTTTACCAACCCATGGGATAGTGATGAATGATAATGATAATGGGACATAATGGGATCAGTTCAAACACCAACCCATCACAGCACCAACCCAACGAATTCTGGTGACCAACTCTACCCATCTCAGTGATACACCGCTCGACGCCTCGTAGCTTGAGTTGGAATCTGTTTCCTGCCGGTGCCAAGCTGTCCAGGCAAAACCAATGATCCCAGTATAGTGCTCAAGGGTTTAGGCAACAGCCACCAGCTTGCTAAGAGTAGATGTTTATAGACAAAAAACACCCAAACACAACTCTGTATCAGCGTGGGGTGATGATGGGTCATCATACCTGCAGTTGAATAAACACTCCAACAGCTTCGAGCCTAATTGATTGGATCTTGAAAGTCTGGGTCTTCCCATACTGACCGATGAGTTCTCATCGTTTGTTGAACTGAGAGGGTCGATTGAACTAGGTACCGAATCACAAAGTACTATTATGTAGGTCTTGGCAGACTGTGGCATGCCTAGGTCCTGCTTCCCACTGAACATAGACGGGGAAATGGAATGAACGTGGATGTGAGCATGGCACATTGGCAGAAGTCAACATGGATATATAATATATATATATATAGTTAGTATATATTCTCAACGCGTCTTCTACGGATTGCCATACTCCAATCTTTCATCCGAGTTTTTCTGTTGATCTCACCTTCAGGGTCCAGGACCCAACCACTGGGGAAGACCTCACCGTCCAGCAGACCCCCCCCACATCACCGGCCTCGGCCTTCACACTTGGGGGCACCTCAGGCATCCGCAGGTATGGGCCATACCGGAGGCATGGCGGCCAGGAGCTCTGGTGTCCTTTGGGTGGAAGGTCTATGGATTAGTTGATTAGTTGATCTGGTACTACTGGGTCTTCCAACCCTTTGACCAGTCCACTAGAGATGCTCGTTGAAGTGAGTTGCATCCAGTACTGCTACGCATCTGTTGATGTTGTTCTTTTACTTTGTTTCGCAGTGAATCCTTGCACACCAACAGGAATCTCCATCATTGAAACTCACTGACATCAATCAGGCTTCGTCCATCGTTCAGTCTTTTTGTTGGTTCCGACAAGAACATTATATAATTGGCTGTTCTCGCTTTCGAAAATGTGTTCTCTATTTCAACAATGATCGATACATGAGCTATCTCTGGTTTTGCCTTTATACTTATGAATTGTATATAGATCCGTTTTGGACTCGTCTTTCGCCAGATCCTTTTTTCCTGAGTCCTGAGGTCCTGACGGGTCTCTGGAAGGTGAAGATCGCAGCGGGCTCCTGAGGAAAATACGGTGAAGATCGCATCACACTGTGCAAAAATATGAACCATTCCGAACCGAATTTGCGACGGTCCCACTAGCAAATCAATGTATATACAGTATTACTTGAGGCTTCCCCAAACCACTTCAGGCTGGCGAGACTGGATAGGGTTTTGGTTGGGGGCATGGTGTGCTCACATGTGCTCACACTGCCATCCAGGAATGTTGGATTTCTTCACCAGCAGAAGCCGGCAAAATTGATGAAGCCGATTGGCTGCAGAAGTCCTCCTGTGTTCAAAGAGACCTGTATAGTAACTAAACAGCACCAGCTTCCTTTATTGAGAAGGATCGTTCATGTGGCTCCCACGGAGTTCCTTCGAACCAGAACCAGCACAGTCAGACTGCCATCTGTCTTCAAATAGTCAGTCAATGTGTACAACTCGGTGTTTCAACATGTCCACTCAACGGCCCGTTTTGGTGTCCAAAACGTATCCATGTCCAAACCCCGCGCACTCCTCATCCTCATCACTGGTGATATCTGCCCATGCCCTTCGCCGACCCAGGCTCTCACCGATGGTTCTAGCACATCGGGCCATGGCAGACGGCTCAGCTCATACTTTGGCTGTGCGAGTCAAAAAGCACTCGGCTGGTTCGGCGGAAGAGTGGCAGTTGATGGAAAGCTTCCTGTGATGCTATGCTGAAAGGAATTCTAGGTTGGGAACATCTGGAAGATCACAAAAGTTCCAAGTCCAATGATCACTGGCACTGCACATAATCGCTTCCAGCGTCTCTTATGGTTAGCTTGTGATACTGAAGCCATGAATCATGCAAATCAAAAAATAGCTTCTGCCCCAGTTTTCAGCCAGGTGCTGCGGCAAGTCTCTTTTTCTTGCATGTTGGGTTTGAGGAGTCATTTAGCTACTCACTGAAAGCTAGACAAGCCCTGAGCAATGTTCGACACCCAAACTGATAAAGACTGGCAAGCAGGCAGGCATCCCGGGTGCTTTATATGTTGGGGCTTGTCAAAGACCATGGTATGGTTTTGTGCTACCCACTTGGCTTTTCTCCACTTCCGCCATTACCCCGACCTTTCTAAGAACCAAAACAATCGTAAGCTTGGCTGTGAAGTTACCACCAGTTTGCGCGTCAAAAGAATAAACTTTCCAAAGCATCCCGCATGAACAAGTGAATTAGACCAAATGGAACAGTACAAGAGGGAAGTGCCTGCAAGGTGTAGCTGGTTATATAGTTGCCTGATGACCCAGCAGCTTCTTCTGTCACTGCTGTGACCATGATGCACATTGATCGTTTCGGTAGAACCTGCCGAAGAATTTGTTGAACAAGGCGCACCGTGGTTTGTGCAATCTAAAGCAGGGGCTCAGGTGCAAAAAAATCACCCTTCGCCTGAATTATCGCAACTTCACGAGGAGCACTAAAACACCGTTCTTAGTAAGAGGTGCATGCCACAGCAGCTTATTCTTCTCCCAATGACCCAACACCCCACTGTCCCATATCATCCACTGTCCGCACCTGTCCAAAATGTGCTGCAGAAACCCCAGTGGGCTGGCATAGTAGCAGTCTCTCAAGTTCTTCGCACAAGAGGGCTTCTCAAAGTGATCCTGCAGAAAAAAAGACATGTTGGCCACAAACAACTGTGGTCATCTGTTCGAAAAGTGCACGCAGGTAGAATATAATATATATATATATAGATATATATATATATAATATATAGTAACAGTATCATATTTTATATACAGTAATATATATATATATACATGTGAATTTGTCAGACATCCCTTCACCTCTGTGTCGCGTAGGAGGAACTTTCACCGTTTGAGCTACCTGAACCATCCATATGCGGAAGGCTAACGATGGGGGTGTAGTCTGTAGATTGAACGCTGTATCTCTTCCACCCACTGACATGACGGTTCTGCAACAGCACACCGGCGAGACCGACAGGTGGAACATCATGGGCTGTGAGTCAAAACCTCCTCCACCAAACCATGGTAGCTGTAAATTCCTACTAGGATTCTGTTCATTTTCAGGGATCAGGTTATGTATACCTGCAGGTTTTCAGGCTGAGGTTTTTGGTTCCCCACACCCATATGGATTCAGAGTCCCAGGCCAAGTTGCTGGTGACTAGATCGAGGTATCCATAATGACTGGGCACCCCAGTCATTTACTGTAAGCAATTTGAACCAGAAGTCAACCAGAACCATCTCTACTTAAAGAACGTGGTGAAAAAAAACACATGCCATTGTGTGTGTGGTTGTTTTTCAGATATTATGGTTGTGTGTGTTTCCATGTTTTGTTGGGGGAAAACCACCAAAAAAACACCTGGAGCCGGGTCCACCGGGTCCAGCTGGTCCACCGTCATGGTGTTCGACATGGTCTGTCCCGTCCGTCCCGTCCTCGAGCATCCCGAAGACTTGAGATTCCAAGTCCTGACGACGATGGACTTCGGCCGCGAGTTCGAGAGGACGAGAGGCCGCGAGTCCGGGCGCTTCGAGAAGTCTCCTCCTGGCTGCGTAGACTGGTCTATTGCCCGAAGCGTCCAAAGGGTCGGAATGCCTGGGAGGTCTTCTTATTTAAATACACACCCCGTAATACTGGAGCTAAGCTACAATATGCTACAATCATCAAAACCTCATAGCCCAAATCCTGCATATAGCTTCATTAATTCATGTAATCATTTCATCTTCATGTAGCATGGAGATTGCCATGAACATATCGCTCACCCGATCCGCCCATCGCTCCTCCGTCTTCTTGAGCCGCGAGGCTAAGGCCTCGTAGTGTTTCTTCGCCAAGGCTTCCTCCTTGGACAAAAACGCTTCCGGGCAAAGCTGCCACACCGCGCGGTCAGTTTTAAGGACGGAGGGTTGTGATTTTCATGGAAACTTTGTGGTGTAGTTAGTGATCAATGCGAATTGGGTCAGTGGGGCATGAGTCAGGTAGGGGATCTGAATTGATCCTCTCAAATCAAATCATGGGTTTTGCCCCGAAGTGTCTACTCTGAATCCCTTCAAAGTGACTCAAAGAGCTCGATCAAACAAACTCTGTCCTATGTGGACACCCTGTTGCCATGACAGGCACTTCGAACTCTACTGCAGGGTTCCATTTGGGGGAACTGAGGTGCGAGGGTCTGAATCCAAAGCGCCAGTTGACACATTCTCGGCCATGGCTGTGGGTAAAAATCAGACCGGCCTACCTGGTGTCGGTCGTTCGCGACATGGTGGACTGGTCGGGCTCCAGGTAGAATGACCATCCCCAATGCCCAAATAACAAATAATAACAATAACTGCTTCAAGGTCCTGGATCCTGTCTGAAATCCGATTGCTGCATAGACGAAGACACCCCTTGAAGCTGCCAGTCATCAAAAAAAGATGAAGGTAGTCACACCACCTGTGAGATCCTGTGTGCACCTGAAGAAAAGGTTCGTTTTTCCTCACCAAACCAGACTGCTTTCTTCCTGGGACCTCAACTTGTCCGGAGCTGTTCACACACCTCTCCACGTCGATTCCGCGGTGGGCATGGTCTGCCGACCTCTGCAATGGCCTCCGAACTCTTGCTGCGAGGCCGGTAGAGGCACCTGCCGCTGCGGTGGGCTACTCAAGACACCAAAGTGATGATGAGGTTGTATAGGTTGAAAATCCAAATGCTCAAGACACATCAAGACATATCAAAACACCTTGTTCTAAACTTTATTGTTAAATTCTGAATACATAACCACTAAAACGTAAAATGCTCGACTGGTCAGGTCGACTCTGTTGCAACGGAGAAACAGTCAAAGGAATCCAACAAGCGGGGCTGGACACGAGAGGCGTACACGTTGTTGTATAATATTATATAACCTAATTGGATGCATTTCGATGCTGGAGTTGTGGCCTAACCCATCACCGGACCTTTCATCCAAACCCATCCAAACCGCCCGTCTTCCGCCGCAAAACCGCGGTCTCTCGCTGGCACGTGGCGTAGATCGCCAGGAGCATTCCCACGCCGATGAGCACCACCGATGCCACGATCTGGTGATGGCTCCGGTGAGTCGACGGTTGAAGGAGAACCAGTCTGGATGAGACAACTCAGAACCGCTCTGGGGCACTTCTAGGTCATCCCTGCAGGTGTGCAGATTCTGTAGACCTATAGGACAATGAGAAGAAACATGACATCTGCAGGTTCATGGATCCTACAAGTCTAGTCTTGGATGTTTACCAGTGACCTAGCCTACACTATAATCACCGTTATCTGATATCAACATATCAACCGTCTGCTACAGGTCTTTTCAGAGGCAAGGACTATCAAGGACTCAAGTCCCGTTAATGGATCGGAATGTGGCGTCCACCAACTGATAAGGGGTAGCACGTCTCCCCACGCCCCACGCTGTTGCTCCGATTCATGACTCACCCGGCCCTTGCGCGACTCTGGCGTGCCTGGGTACTGTTGTTCTCGAAGGCGCAGTCACGACCAACGCCCAACTGACACCTGAGATTTTGTTTCATCATGTTTTCTTCAGACAAGTCGCGACCAAATGGGGTTTCGCATGGCCGCGCAGCAAATGGATGAGAATGGGTTGCGGATATAGCTCTTGGAGTGCAGTATCAGTCGACCAGAAAAATAAAAAACACAATTTATGATTCATGATGAGAATGCGATCAGCAGCACAGAGTTTAGGCATGTTGAAAACGATTTCAAAACACATCTTTATTTGAGTGATTGCGTACACCAGCTGCAGCCACAGAGGATCAGCCCCTGCAAAGCAGAAACGACTCAGGTCGATTCCTCCAAAAAAAAAAGCGAGCAATCGAAACATATCAAAAACACTGCAGCACTGCATTATTCAGATTTTGCTTGCTAAGTGGTCAACTACGAGAACATGACATGGCTCAATGCACTATAGCCTCCTCAAACAGTGGGCTTTTCCCCCGGGCCCCAAGCTCTTGAGCTCATTGTACTTGTCAGTTGTTCTTTTGACCCTCCAGGAAAACCGGTGACCGGCCATTTTCCCCGCCGATCTCCCATGCCCTGCAGCGTCGGGTCGCATCTTCATGCCCAGTGAGGGTACTTCGCTACAGATCGTACACCTGCTTGGCGTGCGGCACGCGACGGTGAAAAATAACAAAGAAAAGCAGGGTAGAAAACCACACGGGATGTTGACACGTTCTGAAAAAAGTCGAACATAGTCAAGCTGGCCGCGTCTCGAATCTTTGGTGGCGCGACACAAAGAAATGATTCGGGCCCTGGGTCCTTAGATGATGTGTCTGTGCGTCACCTTGGCAAACTCGGGAAAAGAACACAGCTTGTACAGTAAATATATGTATATACACAGTCAATTGATTTTCGTGCCCAACATATTTGCTCCAAGTGTTGCACCCTTGGCATCCAAGTGTTTCCAGCTTATACCCGTGTCATCTGCCAGTCTCCTGGCCTGTCGCCATCGCTTCCTGTCAAAGTGAGCACCTTTGAAGGCTAATGACGAGAACTGCAAGAGAATGGGAAACATGCACTACTTCTCAATGGTTTTGGCACTGCCGCTGCTATAATCGTCAATTGCAAGAAGAGTTTCATGCTGCCTACCTTGTTAGGTCTTCGCCCAAGTGTTGGGGAGTCAAAAGGCCTTTGACATCCTTCTCGGCTCCAGGCCAGGATGGTCTGCCCTGCAATCATCCAAGCGAAGCCCACAAAGACCTCACATGAAAAGCATCATCACTAGAAATCTTCTCTGTAGCAAATGTCCAGCTATCTCAATGTGGTTGTATTCAATGAGTCCACAGTGCAAATTTAGTATCAAGCTGCCCACATGTCCCCACCCGACAACATTTGACTGTATATACTGCGAGCGCGTCGCAGGTTGAAGTTGTTCCATCTGGGAGCCCGACAGCATACCTCCTCTCCACAATCATCACCCTGCTCTTCATCTTCAACGGATTATGCTCCTCTTTGGCAGCAGGCTGGACATCGAACAAATCCGGAAAAGTTGCAGTGATGAAGGGAGAATGGAGAATTCACATGAAGTGCTCAAAGTCCCGGATCACTTGCGTCTGACTTCCTAAGCAAGGTCATACAGGCGGCAACACCTTCCCAGATACTTCCTAGAGGGTTGATGGATTTGTGTTTCACAGATTCTGACAAGCTAAGGTACATCCTTATCCAATATGCTCGATGTGACTCAGACTGTCAGCGGTTTCTCTCAACTTTGAAATATGTTGAAGTTCAATCTTGCTCGAACATGAACAATTCACGTGATACGGGTTTTGCGGGCACCCTGCACCTCGCCTCCAACTGCACGAAGTGATCCTCTTGTTTGAGGTGTTTCCTGCACAAACGTGAAATGGGTGTGTCTGAAAAGAAGAGAACCTCCCTGTCACCGGAAGTAGATCCACTTTCCTAAAGTTTTGATACGCAACTGTGCCGCAACTGTTTTGCCAAAAGTTGATCAACTTGACTTGTGAGGACAAAAGTGGCAGGCATGAACCTGACAACCCGACAGAAGGACCTTCAAATCATATCGATTTAAAAATTATGTTGTTGTTCTGCAGTTTAACCCAGCAATATCTAGTGTGTCATATCAGTCCACCTATTATTATGTCAAAAGCCTGCTCTGTTCGAAAACCCAAAGACTCGAGTCTCGGCAACACAAAGTCACAAAGGTGTTGTTCGCTGTCAAGTGCAAATTGAGAAATATTTTTCTGGGTGAGACGAGGCAACAAAAGTTGTTTGCCGTGAAACAGGTATAATTAGGCTTATATAACTATTGGCTCGCACCCGGAAACTCACTTGTTCGAGTACTTGTTCACCTCAGATCAACATTTTTGGAAAACAAGTTGACAGGATCTTGTCTCAAACCCAATGACACCCGGTTACCCGGTTGGCTAAGTCTACGCTGATCGTTTGGCCATGTATTTTGTGGCGGCCACGTTTTCTTCTGTTTTTTTCAGGGTGCGAGTGAGCCACGGGTGCCCCACGACCGGGTGCGGTGCCCCACGACGTGTGCCTTTGATGCTCCGGCAATGCCAAGCGAATGAGATCTCGACGCCTGGCGACTGAACTTGATAGAACGAGGTGCCGAGGTGCGATGATCCCCGATGGTCCAAACGGGTGCGACTTGACCTGAAAGCCAAGGTGAAAATAAGATCGTCAACGTCCATTGGCTCGAAAAGCTCACCAATGCATTGCTTTTCGGACTTGAATTCCCCGGCAATTCTGTTATTCGACATTGATTCTGACTCCACCACTACCTGAGCCACATGGGAGTCATAGCAATTACAGTAGATCAATATACATCACTAATGTCCCCAGTGTGTGCTACTCAAATGCTGCTGTTCCCAGGAACCTCCCCTTGGCTGTTCCATCCTCAGCTCCAGGGATGTAATTGTAACCAGGTTCGATCCAAAACCCAGTCATCCTCACTGGGAGAGCCTCTGTGAGGCGCACCACCGCCGGATTCGGGATACCTCACGGGGGGTCCTGTCACCTGGGTGGGTCCTGGGTGGGACAGAAACCCCCCTGTCCACTTTTGGCTCTTGAGCCAAAATGTGACATGGGAGTAGTGATGATATGCGTGCACCCAAGCCTGCCCAAAGCTCTACACTACAATAGCTTTCGCTTCAGTTTCTGAGCAACTTGTATGTTGTCCTCTTGGATTTGGTGATGTGCCGTGACCGTGGTCTGCAAAACCGCAACAAAAACTCAATCAAACCGAAACTGACCTGAGTCCGGGCAAGGAGAAATCCTCTTTCCACCTCCGGCACTGCCTTCATTTTCGCATGATTGTATCCATAACTCTCAAACCCACCCGGTATCGCTTTGCATGAAGCAGGCTGCGCTTGCTCATTCTGGGGCCTTCTTGCACGTTGCCGGCGCGCTTTGGCGCGAACCGCTTGTGCCTGGCAGTTTTTCTGCGATGTTTCAAAGACGTGAGTTCGTTGGCCACAACAAGGGACACCCATTGCGTTTCTTCGACTTGTTCGGACCAAACGAGCTGGATTCAAATGGTTTTCCCTCCAAATGAGCTGACTTGCTGAATTCCCCCGGGCCTGTTCCTGTTCACAACACGACGTTGGTGACAAGGAAGGGGACAAGAGTTTCATCGAAGCTCTGCTGGGACTTGGACACTGGACACCATCATGAATAGGCCCACAATAGCAGGCTTGCCAAAGTCGGTCACGAAATGCTTTCCTTGCCTCTCTTACTTTACCCCCACTAACCCGCTCTCGGCCAACAGTGTTGATGGTGGTGGTGGTCGCCGTCACCGTCATCGGACTTAATAGATCTTAGTAGTATAGATACTCCCCTTGCAGGATGACATGGAACACGAAAACCGCTGGGTTGTAGAGGAAAATGGTCTTCCACGAGTCTCAGGGTCCATGGGATCATCTGCGGGGAGGAATAGTATGGCATTCGCGCCGATTCGGCGCAACTCTTCCACCGTCCACATGTCATAGCTCCTCGCCACCTCGCCACACACGGGGCACCCGTTTTGGCAGTCATTTTCTGTCTGGTGAGACCGCCCCTCTCCGGAATACATCCTAGGAGTTCAGACGGCAGGTCACACCTGGCGGCAGAAAGGACAGCTCCCATGTCAAGTTCCTTCCCTTGATATGTGGAGTCTGTGGAGTTCCTAAAGTCAGGCGAAAGCAATTATTTTCCATGTTGTTGACCAGTTTTCCTCCCAACATCTCTCAACAAGCAACTTGGAGACTCCGGGTCTTTCGTGTACTCACATGAAAACGAAGGTACTATGGAGAAAGGGGTCAGCCCCGAGCCCCGATCTAAACCCTGCATCGATCCATGACGTAAGACGCACCCAGCTGCACCGGGCACGCCAAGGGCCCAGGTGTTCAAGCACAGGTGTTCAAGCACAGGTGTTCCCAAGGTCATTGAGTCATGTCACCTCTCCAGTTCTCATCGGATCCAAACCAGTCCCGTCTCATCCCGCCACCAACCTTCAACGACGAGAAAGAGTCCGGGAGTCCCATGTTGGCCCAGCCCGAAGGTTGTTTCTTCACAAGCCTGTTCTGGCTTTGGCTGTCCAAATTCTTCGATAAAACTCAAAGGCATACCATGTTCTGTTCTTGTGAAAACAACCTTCCCATCTCCGAGGTGTTTGCCGTGTTTGCATGGTAAGTTGATGTAAGCTTCATGGTTTCGTCAACACTGAGAGGTGCCCATCTGGACTTGTCTCGCAGCCACCCTGAGAACCAGGCCTTACTGGCCACGTTGGACTTTAAACTCGATGCGCTTTGCCTGCATAGGAACCATGGGCGACATCGCCACCGAAGATTCAGTGTTGCGAACAAAAATGAAGGACATTCTGAGATATTCTGAGATTCTGAGACTCCTTACCTGCAAGCAATAAAAGCCTAAATTGGCCTTCGGGATCCATCGGGTAAACGTCTTCTTGGGGGAGTAGCCATTTATCGCAACCAAGGACTGCGTAGTATCGACATTGCTTGTTTATCTTGCTTGAAAAAGAAAAACAACTCAGCCTTGCAAAAAGCTTACATCCACCCACAATCTGAATCCTGAAGAAAGGAGTAACCATTCCAGCAGCACAAACACGGTGGAGACTGTGAACCTCACCATCTACTATAGGGGCCCACATGTGCCGCACCAATCCCAGCAATGCCGGTCTCGCTCCTTGGTAGCTGGGCAACAACTCTGCTTTTGGGCGTCGGTTAATGCCCACAAGGCCTGGCAAATGAGGGGCAAATAGCTTGGACGGTGTCTGGGTCAAAGTTTGAACACTGTGGGTCAAAGGTTGAAAGCACTATGGAGCACCACATCATCCCGCAAAAACACACCTTTTCAACAAACACATGTCCCCTCCCGGTCCCTCCGATGCGCAAATCCGTCCGATGCGTCACCAATGTCCACCGATTCCGCTCAGCTTCCACGATCCAAATTGGACCACCACGACCTCTAGTACCGGTGAACTGGGGTAGTCCCAAATGGGTGAATGCTAGTGCTGCAAGTGAGAAGTAAATGAAAGCACCAACCAGATCCAACCAGTATAGTCCTGTGGTTCGTTGGAGATGTTCAACTAAATATAAGATTAGATTAGAGGTCTGGCAGCCAAGCGGAGCCAAGGATGAGGCATCAGCCTGTGAAAGAGAAACTGCATGGTCCTCCGCACATCTCAAAAGTTACCCGAAATCCATCCGTCTCTGTCCCAGCCTAGCACTACTGCAACACCAAAGCCAAGCATTCCCAGCTTTTGAGAGATGTGCGGGCTCTGCACATCTGGCGATCAGGACGAGGCGGGGCTAAGTTCAAAAGCCATGTCCTCACATGCTAGTGAAGCTGTGTTTAGCACCAACTGTTTTTGTTTTTGGATAGAGTACTTCAGGCAGCCCACATTGTGCAAAAATCATCGCAAAGATCTATCATGTAGCTCCAACTCCCAGCCTACACGATCGTCTAGAAGCGGCACGAACTTGGACATAAATGCTATTGTGGATTGTTGTGGCACCACATGTTTGACCGTTGGACTAGGGCGAAGTCCTATTCATCGCAAGTATTCTCAGTACGCCAGTACGCTCAGCAATCTCAGTTAAATTCTCGCAACACTCAGCAATCACTGAGTATTATGGTAGAAATATATGTATATATATAATATGTACTGTACTATATATGTAAATATATACATATTCGGAGAGATACTTCTGAAAATTGGGACCATCTTGGGCCACTTCACCGATGCGCCGCACTTGACCGTTCCGAGACCCCACCCGCGGACGACGGACGGTTCCGGCACGACGGCACGACGGTCGTTCCACTGGCCTTCATATCCTGCGATGAGTTCTTCCTGGCGTGTTCTCGCTGCGAAGCGACACGTCCCGGGCTCCACATTTTTGGGATCGTAGTTTCACTTGGGAGATGGATCATGTTGGACCTCTGCAAAGCAAACCAATGAGCTAAAACTCCCGATTGAACAAACCAATCTTTGCGGATCATAGCACCCAACCATTAGGTCAGGGACTAGGCCCCTTCGGGCCTAGCCCATGACTACGTAGTTGGTGGTTGGTTTGATCGCGCATATATTGTGAGTTTCTCTGTATTTTTTTGTTGGGAGCTTAACTCGGCTTGTTTCGAGGTTCAGCAATCCCTTTATCGAGAAGTGACATGCAGCTAGAACAGTCACAAGCCTAGCTGGAAGGCGCCAGTTGTCGAAATTCTGTACTTACGGGGATGTCCTGAGTGGTAAGGAATGTGTTCATCATTAGTCCGGTGTTTCATGGTGTGTCCAACAATTGCGAAACAAATGAACCTCTGTAGGAGCTTTGCAATGATGGAAGGTGCCCCCAAGAAACAATACGATTCAAACGCCTCTTTCTTTTATATGATCATGAGTCATGAGGTGACTGAGGGTGAACAATCAACTGAAACATCGCACAGCATCATGCTTGGATCTCAAACCAAGCACACACATAAAGAACACAAACATGGATCCCGAAGAAATCTGGCTCGATGTTCCGAAGGTTTGCTGCGGTTTCATGCAGTTCCACTGATTCCGCCGATGAAAGCATTTGTGCCAAGATAGATCAAGATTGAATGGCACTTATGATGTGTCCAGCATTCGCCTCATCAGGGTTGTACCATCCGTTAGCAAAATTAGCCAGCTTGCGGCATACTCAAAAAAATAATAATTCAAATTCGGACTTTGGTAGCGGCAGCGGAGCTACTCACTCCCGATTTCAATTCGCTCAGGTATTGCATTGTGCTTCACAAAAAGAGCTCAGACTCTGCGCAGTTCCTTTTGTCACTGCTCACAACTTCATTTCGCTGAACTTCTCGGCCACCAAGACGGTCTTCCCCTTGTTTGTCCACAAACAGCTCAGTTCGAGGCTGACTTGGTTTCATGAGAGAGCTCTATCACCAGAACCTGATCAAAGCTCGCTCGCAGTTGCACGCCTTTGCGCAGTCCTACACCAAGGGCGTGGTCACTGGATGGTGCCAAAACTCCTAAAACATCGTGAAATGGAAGGAGCTCCTGAGGATTTGACTTCGTTTGACCAAGCATTCTGCCATCAAAAAGCAGGAGAAGCAGCCATCATCTCGGAGCAGCCATGGCAATGCACCATGAATCTGACTATCAGCCTGACAACCGAGCTCAATCTTAGAAAGTTGAGCAGGATGACTTCGTTGTTCCACGGTGCATGGTGGCGGGGCACAAATTTGTGATTGCACTTCATCCAAGCCGAAGAAGATCGGTCACAGCACGCCTGATGCCGAGACAAACTCTTGCGCTCGTGCAGCACCAACAGCCCAGCTTGTCGCCATGCAAATATTTGAATATCAGAACCATAAATTGCAGGGCTGCATCTTCCGCATGTGTTGACAGTTCCCAAACTTCTTCGTTGGATGAGTCATCACAAGCATCGAATCTATTTGCTGTAAAATACATTTCTTATACATACTTCACCCACCAACCCAACTGACTGCAATAATATCCCAAAACCATGCAAAAACAATCAACCCCCCCACTTGACCAACCACATCCTCCCATGACCTCTGCTCTCCCCCCGCAGGTCGAGTCGTCGACTGGCCTCTTCACTCCAAAGGGCCATCCACCTGAGTCTGTGAAGTATGGAAGGATAGTAACAAGAAGCTACCAGGGGCTCCTGGCCTTACTAGGAGCAAGAGGCTACTAGTAGCAAAGGGCATTTCTATTAGTAACAAAGGAATGGATCAATCAAGCTCCCATGCTTTCCTGTGCCTGCATCCCCTTGACCATGCTGTGTGTCAGGGGTTGTATATAAAATCATGATGGTGCACTCCCTCCTCATTCAATAGGGGACATGGTCAAGGGATGTCAAGGGTATGAACATGCTGTCGGGGTTCACATTGTCTGGAGAACGAATGTTAACGAATGTTCAGTGTTTGC